GGTATGGCAGTAGAATCACAAGTTTAGGCTATGAACTACATAGTGAAACAAATTCTCAAAAAATAGAAAAGACTGCATATGTGACTCAGAAGTATAGCACCCCAGGTTTAATTCCCAGTCCCTCTCCCCTCACAAAAATAATATATTTACCAAACATGTATCAAAGATCATATATATATATATATATATATATATATATATATATATATAAAATATGATGCTATGATGGTTAATCTGAATTGTCAATTTGGATTAAAGGATTCCTAAGACTAAGAAACTTCTGGGTGTGTCAATGAGAGTGTTTCTAGCAATGATTGGCATATAGGACAGCAAACTGAGGAGATTTACCCTAAGAGTGGGCAGTATAGGCTGAGGGCCTGGATGGAACAAAATTTGGAAGTACAAGTGTGATAGTAAAAACAAATGTGACTCCATTTTATTTTGTGACTCCATTCTGTAAACAACCATGCCAAGTAGAAGGGTCATGACAGGGGCAAGATGTTCTTTTCCTTTTTCTACAGAAACTTTAAGAACACAAAACAACCTAATGGGGCATAGTTTCTATAACTATGGTAACGGGGCTCTGTTTCTGTACCTGGGGTGATTGGGTTAACTGTGATTGGTTAGGCTTCCTGCCACTTGACTGCACTCTCCCGCTTCTGTAACCTGGCTCTCTTGCATTGGCTAGACCCATGAACATCCCTTTTGCAGTTTTCAGGTTATAAGGAGCACCCTTGCAATTCTTTGGGCTGATCAGGGGGACAGCTTTATGTTCTGGTCAGTCACCCCCAGTGTGCTTCAATAAAGGCTTGATTCAATTATACATCAGTGGTCTGGAAGTCAGTTTATTAAACCCCTGGGGATGAAGCTTTAACTATAACACAAGGAGGCAGCAGTACCCTCTAGTTTGATTCTCTTTTAGGGATTCTGGATTGCTGCTGCAAACTCTTGAGGACATTAGACTCCAGCTCCTTTACTCTTTCACAGTGGACTCTAACAATGACTATCAGTTTGTTTTCAGGCCTTTGGTCCTAATGGGGCTATATCAAAGATCTCTGTTATTCTGAGGCTCCAACATGTTAGACTGTAAGGAAAATAAAAGGAGACAGAAGCAAAGTGCAGAGGCAAAAGCAGAAAACTGCTCACCTGAGCTGCTAGCTTTATACATAGATTACTTTAGGTCATTAGCATCATTAGTAATAATGTTCTTTGTATTACTAGGCAAGTTACAGACCTAACAACATTATACAGCTTATTCCTCAGTTACATACTAAGTTGCATTGTGCAATGTTAGGAGCTTTGTGTAGCTCTCAAGAAAGTACATTGTATAAAGTTACTGTTATGTGCACAAATTTAAGCTCAGTGAAACATTATTTTTGTCCAACAAGAAAGTTACTTTATTCTCAGGAACTGTGTGCCTGAGATCAAGGTTGAGGCTGATGAGACTCTAACACAGAGCCTCCTCATGAAAGACATTTCTATGGCTACTAGGAATTCTGTGTCTTTTCACAGAAGTTTTCCCAGCAGCCAGGCATTGCATACGCATTAGTTATGTTACTAATTCCTAGGAGAAACTGCAGGCCATTCTAAGAGTGGGAAACAGAGTGACTGTTACCCTCTGGGAGTTTGCTAACCAGAGGAATGCTTCCCTGTGTATTTCCATGGTGAGAATCTCTACATTAGACTGAGAATCTAGTGGTGCCTTCAGCTCTCCAGCCTACAGACAGCCATTGTGAGAATATACAGCTTCCATTTCTGTAAGGCAATCTAACAAAACCCCTTTTTATAATCATATATATCCTGTTGGTTCTGTTCCTCTAGAGAGCCTAATGCTACAAAGGCATTAGGCTGCCAAGGAGGCCCTATTTCTTCCTCAGATTATCAGAGTGCTAGATGAGGGAAATACCTCATTTCAGGGACCTCAAATATTCATATTTGCCAAACTTCCTGCCAAAAGCAGAAATCAAGAAGATACGAACTCTCAGACCCTGGGTTGGGCAGCAATACTTTCCCTCTGAAAGATACAGTGTGGTCACAGTGATATCTGACACCTAGGATAAAGCAGTTACATAGGTCTACCTCAGGCAATAATTTTAAGACAGCTCTTCCTAGACAGCCTAATGCCTTTGTAGCTCAGGATCTCAGGGCACTGACTTCTCCTAAACATTTTTCTTTATAGCCCACTATTCTTGTATCAGAAATCAAAACTCATGCTTCCATACCAATAGGGTATTTTTTGAAGTCTTTTTTGTTGTTGTTTTTACATCCTAAAATTATAATTAGTAACTACTGGAAAAAAATAATCTTCGATACTAATCTGTGTACAAGGTAGGTTCTAGGAAAGCAAGATTGCATCTGACTAATACAGATGCATTATATTTGATCAACAAACAAACTCAACCTGCAATAAAAGTTAATTTTTGAAAGATAATATCACAAAACAGAATATATTATATATGTAGTATATAATATATATAATATTATATATTATGTATATATTATATATATTCAGTCAAATATGAAAATGTACTCAACTTTATGAGTCATAAGATTAATACAAATTCAAACCATATATTAAACTGCTAGGCCTTAACAAGAATAAGCAAAATTTAAAAATAAATATGGACTGACAAATAAAGTAGAATAAATGAAGTTTACTCAAAGCTGGAGAAAGTATTATAAAAAAAAATGGCACACTTACTTAAAGCATTTCCTAGGGCCTAGGTATTCCAGTAGAAATAAGAAAATTCTTGCTAAATTGCCCAGATGGCCCCAAATTTGTGATTCTCCTTCCAGAGACTCCTAAATAGCTAGGATTGTAGGAGTACGCCACCATGCTGGCCAAGAAAATGAAATTTTATAGAATGTTTTGTAAATAGATCAGATTATACTTATACTTATTTTTCTGTTTAATTTCAAAATGACAAATTTTAAAATTTAAGCAAGTGATATAAACTTTTAAAAGTATAAACTCATGGGGATGAAACACAAAGATTAAAGTGTGTTCCAAAGGTTCATGCTGTTAGCTACATGTGACAGGTTTAATAATATCCAACCTGGTTGCCTATGTAGAAGGTGTGGGTCTTCAGTTTGTAGCTTGAAGCTCCCGCAAGCAGTAAGACTCCATCCCCAAAAGAGATAGAAGAAGTAGCTCAGAGGTTAGGTATACAGACCACCAGAGAATCGAGTCTGCTATTTGGCATTTTTTGCCCATTTCTACCCCAAAAAATCTCCAACAGAAAGTGGTGAATGTTTCGCTGGTTCGCTGGTGAAACTCAAGCCCACAGCTTACATTTTAGTGGCATTAACACTGTCTCAGCCCACCCCACCCCCACTTTTTTAGATAGTCTTGCTCAGTTTCCCAGTCTGTCCTTAAATTTCTTATCCTTCCAAGTAGCCTCAGCTTTCTGAATAGCTGGGATCATTGACATAAACCCTATGTATAGCAGCTGTCTCAAAATTATTGCCTGAGCTAGACCTTATGTAACTGCTTTATCCTAGGTGTCAGAAATCACTGTGGCCACATTGCATCTGTCAGAGGGAAAGTATTGCTGCCTCACCCAGGGTCTGAGAGGTTTTATCTTCTTGACTTCTACTTTTGGGAAGAAGTTTAGCAAATGTGAACATTTGAGGTCCCTGGAAATGCGGTGCTTCCCTCATTTAGCACTCTTATAATCTGAGGAAGAAATAGGGCCTCCTTGGCAACCTAGTGCCTTTGTAGCTCAGGAAATCTCAGGGCAGTGACTTCTCCTAAACATTTTCCTTTATAGCCCAGGATTCTATTACTGGAACCCAAAACTCATGCTTCCATACCATACCATTTAATATAGTACTTTTTGAAGTCTTGGTTTTACATCCTAAAATCATAATTAGTGACTACTGGACAAAATCATCTTTGATACTAATCTGTGTAAAAGGGAGGTTCTAGGAAAGTCTACCAAAGCTAGAAAGAGCCAATAGAGGCTTCCAGGTGACAAATTTTCTCTGCCACACAGGATGGGGTATGGAGGATGTGGCTATCTTTGCTCTGCAGTTCATGCTGTGAATGTGGCATTACTTAAGAAGCAGCCCCAAGGAAGGGCCCTGGGTCTCCTTTAGGAAAGCATGAGATTGAGGTGAAAAAAAAAAAAAAAAAAAACTATTTTCTTTCTTTTTTTTCTTTCTGTAAGAGCAATTGAACTCAGGGAAATTTTACCACTGAACTACATTCTCAGCCCTTTTTAATATTGTACTTAGAGATAGAGTCTTGCTGATTTGCTTAGGGCCTCACTACATTGCTGAGGCTGGGTTTGGACTTGTGATACTCTTGCTTTAGCCTCCAGAACTGGGATTACAGGCGTGGGCCACTTCAGCTGGTGAGGAAAACAAGATTTCTAAACTAAATCCTTTTCCACATGGGAAAATAAAAATAAAGACAACATCAGAAAAAGAAATGTATATAAATGTTCAAAAACATTTACTAAAAAATCACATATGATGACACCCTCTTCCTGTTTTTAAAGGTAAAAAATAAAAGAACACAACTGAAAATCTTTAGATATAATCTGAATTTGGTGATTTTTTTTTAAGTTAGTAAATGTTGGTGAGACTCTAGATGTTTGTTTATGAAGATTAGAGAAGGGATTACATCAATATTTTCTACCTGAATACTAATTATGCACTCACCCAAACCACTCAAACTAATCTAATCACCCATGATAATCCAATTACTACACTAACACTGATAGGAAGCATCCTGAAAAGCAATCAAGGAAGAAGTGGGTGTGGTCTTCAGGGACTCAATAAAAGTGCACTCCAGGAGCAGCCTGGTATGCAGCCAAAGAGATGTAGGGGGAAGGCGTGGATCCTGCCACCACCAAGCACAGGGACTGCTGCCTATTGCTGTCTCCCAACTCCAGGTTTCCTGCTCGCCTCTGGCCTCCTGCCTAGGCTCTTGTGCACCTGCCTACCTGGGACACAGCTTCAGGTCTGAAGTCATAGCCAGAGCCTGAGCCTGCGTCATGCCAATGGAAAGGAAGGAGTTAGATGGGAAGGAACGGGACACTATGAACGAAGAAGGTGACTTCTCTGTTCGCTCCAGGAAGAGGAAGGCAAATGTGGACATTTCTCTGCAGGATCCAGATGAAGGAATTGCCAAAATTGACAAGACTGTGATAGACCAGTGTGGCAGTCAGCCTTGGGACAATAATACATGGGCAAATCCCTGCTCCTTGATCCCCACACATGACAAAGATGCGCTGGTATACACAAATTCTACATTTGAGCCTCAGAGATCCACACCATCCAGAGCCTCACCGCTTCCTATACTGAACTGGGCAAACAGAGAGGAAGTTTGGAAAATAATGCTAAACAAAGAAAAGATGTACTTAAGGGATAAGCACTTTTTGCAGCGACACCCTCTTCTGCAGCCTAAAATGAGAGCAATTCTTCTGGATTGGTTAATGGAGGTGTGTGAAGCCTATAAACTTCACAGGGAGACATTTTACTTGGCACAAGATTTCTTTGATCGGTATATGGCAACACAAGAAAATATTGTAAAAACACTTTTACAGCTTATTGGGATTTCATCTTTATTTATTGCTGCCAAACTTGAGGAAATCTATCCTCCAAAGTTGCACCAATTTGCTTATGTTAGAGATGGTGCTTGTTCAGGAGATGAAATTCTCACTATGGAATTAGTGATAATGAAGTCCCTTAAGTGGCATTTAAGTCCCCTGGCTATTGTGTCCTGGCTGAATGTATACATACAGGTTGCGCATCTAAATAACATATATGAAGTGCTACTGCCGCAATATCCCCAGCAAAACTTTTTACAAATTGTAGAGCTTTTAGATCTCTGTGTCCTTGATGTTGGTTGCTTAGAATTTCCCTACGGTGTACTTGCTGCTTCTGCCTTGTATCATTTCTCTGCATCTGAATTGATGCAAAAGGTTTCAGGGTACCAATGGTGTGATATAGAGAAGTGTGTCAAGTGGATGGTTCCATTTGCCATGATTATAAGAGAGACAGGATGTTCCAAACTAAAGCACTTCGGGGGGGTTCCTGCAGAAGATGCCCATAACATACAGACTCACATCAACATCTTGGATTTGCTGGACAAAGCTGAAGCAAAGAAAGCCATGTTGTCTGAACAAAACAGGATTTCTCCTCCCCCCTCGGGGGTCCTCACCCTACCACAGAATAGTAAGAAGCAGAGCAGTGAGCAGGAAAAAATGTGACCACACTAGCATTCTCCACCAAAGATAGTTGTGAGGAAGTGCCTGCTCATAGTTCTCTCCTGTCTACTGCAGTGGAGGTGTGTACTAGCTTTTACAGATATATAAGTGATGAGTATCTCACTTCTCCAACAGAAGTATTTCTGTGGATGGCATTGGACAGGGAGAAGTGTTTTTTATTGGATACTTAGATTTTTATAAATAAGTGGGTCAAGTATACCAGCCACCTCCATAACACCAATGAGTGCTCCAGATGCTGCTAAGAAGGGTGATACTTGACTTGATTGACTATTCACACAAATAACAAAGGCTTGAAGTTGAGGAGTGCCCTGTTGCTGTTGGTCTCCCCTTGGATGCTCTGGGTTGCCTCATGTTTGGTGGAACAGGTGGTTGTGAGCAAGCATTGTGATGCACAGCCTCAACAAGCAGGGCCTACCCTTTACATACTATCAGTTGACAGTGTGCCCATGCCTCTTATGAACTCTTGTTTTGTAAGTGCTGCTATGTCTATCTGTTTTTAATAAAGATAATACTGTCTTTGAGACAAAAAAAAAAAAAGTGCACTCCAGGAGAAAAGCTCATTCTTCTCCAGAACAGAGTTTGAAACTCACCTGGCTGAAAGACATCAGAATCAACCACCTCCATACCTTGAGCACCTAATCGTGAAGCTTAATTCATATTTTCTCTTCTGTAGCAAGAACTGGTAAAACCATAGAGTCATTCTTAAATAGGTAAGCATACAATTGACACACAAGATCTAGCTACTTTCTCAAATGAAATCGAATGTGATTTCGTATTTTCACGTTTTTTAATTTTTGTATTCTTTCTTTTTTCTATCTATCTATCTATCTATTTATTTATTTATGTATTTATGTATGTACATATTTATTTGTTTGTTTGTTTGTTTATTTATTTATTTTTGTACTGGGGACTGAATTCAGAGGCACTGGACCACTGAGCCACATCCCCATTTCTATTTTGCACAGGGTCTCACTGAGTTGCTAAGAGTCTTGCTTTCGCTGAGGCTGGTGATGAACTTGCAGTGCTCCTGCCTCAGGTGTGTGCTACCATGCCCAGTGCTTCTACATACTTATAAGCACTCTGAAATACATTCCCAAATAATGTGTAAATTTGTGCTTGTATATCCAAAAATATTTTTAGAAATATTTCATTCCTTCCATTCTTAGAAATTCAACTAGAGTAGAAAAGAGAACCCAGATTTTTAGCTAAATAAAAATTGTAAAGGCTTCTTTGTTTGCTGGAGCAGATTAAAATAATCACATATTTTCACAGTGTGAAGGGGTGCTTGGTAACAGTTCAGCCTTGTATAGAGAGCTATTTACTTAAAAATTTGATTTATTTGAGTTCTTTCTTTATTCATTTTTCTGTTTTGTCATGTACAAAAGCAAAGTTATTATTCCTAGACAGAAATGTGTTACTCAGTGAGAATATGGGTAAAAGTTTGTTCAGGTCTTTATCTCTTCAAGGGTAGATGAATAATAAATCCTCATGGTTTTCTTCCCTCAGAATAATAGACTCAGAAATTCCACAAATCTTCCAGAAGGAACTCACCTGCTCTTTCTGCCTTAACTACCTTAGTCACCATAGGCTGTGGGTACAGCTTTTGTTGGCCCTATTTCTGCATTCCCTGGGACAAGGCCAAACTCTTGCCTGTTGCCCTGTGTGTAGAGATCCATCACAGCAGGGAGATGTCAAAAACAATATTCTTCAGAAGAATCTGACAGCCATCGCCAGAAAGCCCATCACAGGAAATTCCTGAGCTCTGAGAAAAATATATGTGTGACCCACCAGGAGACAAAGAAGATCTTCTGTGAAGAGGACAAGCACCTGCTCTGTTTGTTCTGCTCCAACATTCAGGAGCACAGGGCTCACAAACACCCTTCAGTAGAAGGAGCTGCTGAGGAATACCAGGTAAGTGATACCCCTGAGAGCACTGTGAATGCTGAGCAGTGGAGCTAAGAGATTACAAAAGAGCTGAGGATCTCAATGATGATAATTGCTCTATTCTTTTCTGCATGCTAGGTAATTTTCTAAGTATCAACAAAGAAGCTAAGAATCAAAGGTGTAAGTTATAAATAAAATATGCAAGCATGCCTGCCTTCCTGGAGCTTGATTCCACAGGGCTAGTGATAAAGTAGTTGGTCACTTTTAGTTTTATTTTCACAGTTAAGGCATTAGAAACTGCTCATTTTGAAAAGAGTTACTGGCTACCAAAATGACAAATGCAATATGTTTCTATACAGAATGGATGTTTACTAACACTAGAAAATAAATAAGATAAATGCTTTGGAATTATCAGGGTAGAGCATCAGGAAAACAAAATTCTTTTTTTTTTAATATTTATTTATTTTTTTAGTTCTCGGTGGACACAACATCTTTGTTTGTATGTGGTGCTGAGGATCGAACCCGGGCCGCACGCATGACAGGCGAGCGCGCTACCGCTTGAGCCACATCCCCAGCCCAGGAAAACAAAATTCTGATGCCAATTGCCACACTATCTAAAAACTATTCTTCTTTATCACTATCTGTAGGCAAATGGCTACATTATACACTTTTGCAGTTTGAAATCTCCTAAAATTCACAATCATTAATGGTAAAAAGGAAGCATTATGATTTTTTTCTTCTCACTAAAGTACTTATATCTTACTTATTTTTTATTCTATCATTGTGAGATTAAAACCAAATGTGCTTTCTTCTCTATTGTTTGAGTTTATGTTTCTTTTACAGGAGAAGCTCCTAAAGCAAATACAATCATTAAGGGAAAAGATCCAAGTAAATCAGAGGAATATAAATGAAGACAACAAAATAATCAATGCATGGATTGTAAGTATAAGTCTATTTCCTTGAGACTCAGCTTGAAACAGACATACTAGAAATCCATCCATTATTCACTATAGCATCATGGTGTAAGGATACTAGGCACATCAATTCTGGTAGCTTCTAGTCCTAAAAGTAAAATTCAACTTTGTTGATCAAATAAATGATTAGACAGTGTCACAGGGAGGTTTGAGATTAAAATTAATTTACTAACCAGAGATCAGAATATTACATATAGTGATTTATTTTAAAGCTATAAATTCTAATGGCTTGCATATAGACATTGAGATTTGGAGGATAAATTGTCAATCAAAACCTTTTCTTCAGATATTTCAGGCATTCATGAAGCAGATAAAAGTGGTTGGAGGGAAGGATGTGTTTTGTTCCTTGCCATTGTTATAAAGAGTAGAGAAAGAAAGAGGATAAAAGAGGGGTGAATTTCTAATTTCTGAAATGTGGGTGCATGTAAACATGGTGCATGTAACATATTGATAAAAAGACAATGGACAAAGAGAGAGGTTTAGGTGGCAGAGGATAAAATCATGTTAGAAATGTGATCTAGATAATCTATCCCTACAGTACTACATGTATCTCAGGAAGAGATGATCAAGGCTGAGTACAGGAAACTACATCCAGTTCTTCATGAGAAAGAAAAATGACATCTAGACATTCTTAGAAAAAAAAAAAAAACAAAATAATTTTAGAGGAACTCAAAAAAAGTAAAGCCAAAATGGTTCAAAAGAAGAAAGACCTAAGAGAAATATATGAGGAGTTGGTGAAAATGTCCACAAACCATATGTGGATCTGCTCCAGGTAAGAACTGAGCTGTGCACAAAAGTATTTTATATGATTTCAGGTTATTAACTTTGACCATATTATCTGGTAGTTTTTATATTTCTTGCATCAATGATGGGGTTCTTTCCTCTTTGGATATAGTCTAGTTAAAGTTTACCTTCTATCCTGACTATAAATAAGCAAGATTTATGAAACTTTGTAAGTAAGGTCTCCTAGGAATTTTTTTTTTTTTTTAATTTTCCTGTTGTATCTCGCTTCTCTAAGAACCAGAAGATAACCATTTTTTACATGAACATTCCATTTTTTGCCTCCCATTTGACAATATACCGACATATTGGAAAAGCTTATGTTTCCTTTCATCTTTTTAAAAGTTATGGGATTGAAATGCCCTCACTGGGGACAATACACACTGTGTACTACCAATGTCCTTCATTCTCATACTTTTTAGACCCTCTGAATTCTAATTTAATCACAAATTTGGAATCTTTAAATATTCTTTACTGGTACTGTCCTGAGAGATGAAAATGAATTCATAGGAAGTGTTGATGTGATGATATTTGATACTACATGATCTTTCCAAACACAAAATACTATCCAATTTCTTAAGAAATCTAAGCCTTTTTTTCTTTTCTTTGCAGGACTTGAGAGATCTATTGACAAGTAAATTTTGACTTTAGTGTAAACTGGGACACCATTGAGAGCTATGAAAGTGTTTAAGCTGTTTCTAAAAAAGTGAAGGCATAGTTTATGTAGAGAGTAATCAACTGTGTGTTCATGTGTTTGTTTGAATATGATTTTCTGTTCCCCTTCATGAGAAGTCAGACTCTATTTCCCCTGTTGGTTGAGGAATATGTCATAGTGGGCTGTATGCTGACGTTCATAAACACAACCATATATGATTTGACAATGTAAATCAGAAACATTGAGGTGTATGGGATCCTTTTCCTAGTTAGGAAATGAGAGAGATGGGAACCTCTGAGAAATGGGTTTTTAACTAGCAGATTAAGTAAGAAAGATTCCTAGAAACAGCCCCTTCTCATGTTCACAGAAGTACACTCAAGAGAAAAGGGTTTCAAGAAACATTTTCAGTGGAATGTTTTTTTTAGTTCCTTAAAAACTGTGATGACATCTTTGTCACCAGAAGATTCCTGTCCTCTTCCTACTGCAGGAGTGAATCAGTGCAGCTGCACATGGCTCAGCGGAAAAAGCCAGCACTTCCTGCCTAGACCATCACTGGACTGATAGACAGTCTCAAGTGTTTCCAAGGTGAGTGTCAGCCCAGTGATGGGAGCATAGTGTAATGACTTTCAATAATGATTTTCTTTGGGAAAACTTTCCATTTATTAACCTTTAATATACCCAAAGGGAAT